CTATGAATTCATTCGGAACTCAGACCCTAATTCAATAGGACACTTAAGCACACGGGACCTTAAACTGAATGACCATGTTTCATCTTAAGCAGAGTCCAGAATGCTTCAGTGCTTTGCTACATCAGGGCTTACACCAGCAGGGATCTATACAAATTTAAAAGTCACAGAAATCACTCCTAAAAGCTGTAGAGAAGGATTTCCTTCCTACTGAATTTTTTAATTTTCCTAGAGCATTTCATAGAGAATTCGGTGTCTCTAGATGAAATATTCAATAGATGGGTGATCTATCCCTATTTCAGTCTAGAGGGCTTTCCTGTAAAAGGGTTGGTTTAATAAATCAGCTCCAAAAAAAACGTCACAGACACATTTTAATGTGATAATTTCCTGATTACCAAAGACACAGCTGGTCAGGGTATGCTCCGATGACTGACTGAAAAATCAGGAACTGGGATGCGTTGCATACTGTAACAGAGTATTAGCTAACATCAGCCACTCCCTTTCGATCTGACACAAAATTTATTCCAAATTCAGGGAATTTCCCTTTACAGCAGTATCCATGTATGTTATCAGCCGTCTGCTTTGCATACAGAATCCCAGCAGAGTATAAAAGTGTTTGCCTTGCAACAAGGGCACAGTACTGCTGAGGTTAAGGGAAAGAAACATTGGCAGAGGAGACGATCTCCCAGCACACTTGGAAAAACTTCTCTCGAAAGCAAGGTAAGGTACATGTCTGTGTGACTGAGCAGCCTGCCAGCCAGTTATAGCTGCTTGCAGCTGGAATAGTTTTACTGATGTTTGATTCCCCCCCTCCCCTTTACTAACATCATAAGTTGTTCTTTTCTTAATTAGTTTCCTGTAAAAAGCTGGCAGGGAACCTTTACCCTCCTTGTGCTATCTTTAAGAATTCCTACAAGTCAGAGCAGTGCTACAAAGGTTCTTTAAATTAACCCTCTTGAAAAGGATCTAAGGAATCCAGGGACTAATTTTTGATCACCTGCTGTGCTAGAATAGCTAGGACAAAACTTCCTAAAACTTTTCCATGGAAGCTACTGCTCTTTGGCTCTCCTGCTCAAAATCCCAGCACAGCGTCCCAACCTAAGACGTCTCCACAGCAACTATAGCGTTAGTTTTAAAAATTCAGATTACCCTAACAGATCAGATGTTTGTAATAAATGAACATGTGTTTAGTTAGGTTTGTATTGTACTGTGTTTGAGTTGTTTCCAGTTTGGTAACTGCAGATATTTTTGTCACACACCTTTATCTTCCCCTTCTGTTTTACTTTTATTAAGGGCCAGAATCCAACACTCCTACACTGACTAGTATCGTACAGCACAGGTAGCTGCATTCTTTTTAGTGAGGCTACTCATCACGAATGGGGGTTTCAAAATCAGGCTCTGAACTCTTACATTAAACTGCTTTGATTGTGAGCTTTTGGAGGTCTCCGTTTTTTATGTGTACAGTGCCTGACACAACAGAAACCTGACCCATAACGCGGGCTCGCAGGTATCACCGCAATAAAAAATAGTGAATAAATCTTTCATAACAGAAAAAAGAAAGTTTTCTTTCTTTCCTCATCTTTTGACCTTTTTGCCTACGGTCTTATACAATGCAGTAGCTTCCTTTTACCCATCAAGTGTCTATTTTCCCCCTTCTTTGCTTTGGGATCAAAGATTAGCTGAAAAGCCCACATCCAAAAGGATGGCAAGACACAATTGGGATCAACCATTGGCAATTAACAGAGCATTGTCCTAATCTGACTTATTGGCTCCAGGGGTTATAGAGATGATATAATATTTATAAAAATCTAGAACCCATGTATAGAACCTGGAACCCATACACCTCACCTTCCGTTTGACTCTGGCAGCCTGTGCTAGTTATTCTTCCTTTAATTCTCTGGAGAAGAACGGGAATCTTTGTTGTGTGAATGACACGGACCCAGTGTTGAGTCTTATTTTCCTGCACACAGCGGTTCAAATAAAGGGGAAAAAATGTTTGCGATATCCAACAAATTTCTGAGAAACACAAAACTAAAAAGAACTCTAGTGTGTGTTTCTGCTCAACTTAGAGCACTAATGTGTTTTCTAGAACCTAATTATGCTCTGAATTTCATTCAATCTGAGTATATTTGGAATCTCATTGCACAGATTTGTTTTATATGGGGTATCCTAGGAATAGACTGCAGAAGTAGAATAAATCAGGACTACAGCTTCTAATTGGCATAGAGGGCCCCTAATGTATTTGGTAAATATTTGCTACATGGTTTGGGCCCGATTTACTGATTTAGCACTAAAATGGTGGTTGGGGGAGGGAGATGTGTTTGCTGAAAGAGAGCCTTAGCTGGCTTTTTAACTTTCCATTATAGGGTACTAGCACATTTTCCAAGTATTGCTTGGGTCCTTAATTCAATGAAAGCGGGGGGGTTGGATAATAAAAGGAATATGAGCATTCTTTATTGAAATGATAGTATTTTTCCAAAATACAGTGTTATTTTTACAAAGTTATTTTTTTATTTTGGATTTCTTAAAAGGGGATTGTCAAAATTTGTACGTTTCATATTTTTAGTGCATTTTACAATGGGAATTCCATCAAGTGTATTTTTTTTCTTTATCTAACTCTTATCATTTGCTATGTTTTAACAAAAAAAGGCTATAGTCCATTTGGTTTCCAGTAACATTGTCTTCTAGTTTTCAAACCTTAAGCATTGATTTAGCTGTGCCAAATTTAGCTACTCCAAATTTCTCTGTTTTATCCCTTTTCTCTAAGGTTTATTGAGAATCAATCCTAGTGCAGGGTCATCCTATTTTTCTGGCTCATCTTGGTTCAGTCATTTTTGCTCAGTTCTGTCAATTTTGAGGACTGTACTTGATTGGATGATTCTGTCTCTTTTCAGTTTGTTTTTTTGAGACACCATCCCTTTCCAGGCACAGCCTGTTTTCCTGGCACAACCAAACCCTAGCCTTGCTTTAAGTTATGATAAGAGGAAGCTGTATCCTGAATTTGGTGGACCGAGCTCTTACTGTTTAGGAGGAATTCTTGATCAAACAGGCAAACTCTTTCAAATATATAGTGGATCAATTACAGCAGGTCCATAAAGCTGTGGAGTTCCCTCATCTTATCAAAGAGGGAGATTAGTCTTTGGTCACTATATAACCATTACTTCATTTGCACTCACCTTGCCACGTCTGAGTCCAGCACCTCCGGGCTTGTTACATCAGTTAGGAGTGTAAAAAAATCGCATGAACCCTGGCATCTCTTTTGTTACAACTTCAGCACTGTGTGTAACCTCCTTTTCTTTTCTCTCTCCAAAGAATCCGCTCGTCATATAAACCATATTTCAGGGCTAGGAAGCAGCAGGTTAATTAAGAGACCGAAAATGATGTGCCCTTGGCAGTTCCTATTCAAGCCCCAAACCGGTAGGAACGAGTCCCACAAAGAGAAGGATATAAACAATAATGTGGAAAAAGCAGCCATGGAAGTTCACAGGTAAGATTTCTCCCCTCTCAATCTGACTCTTCCTGTTTTCATACACTTTCCCTCCTTGGAGAAAGAAAGATAACAGGAAAGCACCATCAGCTTTCAGAGGTACAAGTAAAGACTTGCCAGAGCAATCATTTTAAAGGAAAAAGTTGAAGGGGGTAACTAACTGTTCCTACAGGCTCTTCTTCTGCAGTTGATTCAGATGCTGTAAATTTTACCTTTCCCTTGTGACACACAGTCACATCGACGTGACACAACATCCTGCTTTAAATGTCAAATTTCTCTTCTTAATTGTTTCTGCTTTCTATAATGTATATAGTGGTATATGCGATGGATGGCAAGCTCCGTGTGTGGGGGTCCATGTATATGTGTGTGTGTGTGTGTGTGTACATGTTTTGTGGACTTTGGAAAAGTCATTTATTAACCCTGTAATTGTATTAATTAACTCTGTAAAGTATTTTGGACAGTTTACATGGAAGATAGTATATAAAATAAGTCTGCATGCTTCTCAAAATGACCGTCATTTCAAAGGATTTCACTCATTTCGGTGCCTACATACCGCACACACATTCAGGAGGGCCCCTTGCCCTCCCTCCTCATTTTTCACTATTATTGTCGTTGAAAGTCAATTACATCATAAATACAGAATTCTGAATCTGACACCCGGTAGAGTGTTGCTCACCAGTCAGAGTGAAGGACACACAATCTGGTTCTCAGATAGACATTGTCTAAGGGAGATTCCCACCCACCAAAAGCTGAATCTGTTGCTCCAGGTTTTCCAGACTCGTTCTCGTCTTCTCAAACCTGGCATCCAAATTTAAAGGAAGAAAAGAGTTCAAAAGTCATTTTGCATTAACGCCCTTCATTTCCTGCATAAGAAAGCAAGCAGTTTGCTTAATGCACCATGACGTTGGCCCTTCATACGGCTATACCCTAAGGAAAACAGATCTTCTAAACATTTTCCTTGTCTTTGTCCATTTCCCATGATTAGTTCACAGTTGTAGCTTTTTGATGTATTTCCTTTGTTTAGCTTATAGCAGCGGTTCTCAACCTTTTACATTCTGGGACATAGCAATATCAATTCGCAGCTGCAATCCCACTACCTATTTCTTATTTCTTTGAGTTGGGAACCCATCGCTTATTGAGTTGGTATTGTTTTCAGACACCTTGTTATGCGCCTCTCTACTCATTCCACAAGTAAATGGCAATGAGTTAAAAAATGAAGGCTCTTGAACTAAATCAGATTCTGCTTATTCATTTCAAAGCTTCGTGAAAAACAAAGCCACCATGCTAAATGATCTGAACAAGATACAGAATGAGATGCTGCATGCCATAACTGCAGAAGAGGTGAGTAGAGACTATCTATTTCTTGCCTCAGTATTGGATGCTAAAGCTTGGTGAATTTTTTTAGCTGAAACTCCTCCCCCTCCCCACCACGCTCTCCCTTACACAAATAGGGTGCGTCTACACTGCACCCTAAACTCTAAATAGCTTATTTTGAAATCTGGTGTGTCTACACAGTGCCAAATTTTGAAATAACATGTTATTTCAAGATATCCCTTAGCCCTCGTGGAACAAGGGTTACCAGGATGCCGAAATAGCGCATCTGTTATTTCAAAAAATATTTTAAAATAATGGGTAGCTTATGTAGACACAGCAGTGTAGACATTCCCATAGAAACAAAACAAAAACCAGTTATAGTGACACCAAAACGTCATGTCCGTTTCACCACATTGTTTATTTTGTGATTACAAAACCAAAATTTTTTTTAAATTTCCCTTGGCATTTTTAAAATAGATGTTTCAGTTTTTCCGTTTGAAATGACTTGTTTCAAAATGTTCTATCATTTCATTTAAAAAAGATAAAAAATACGTAAAAATGGTCTAAAATCAAAACATTTTGTGCAACCCATATTTTTGCTTCTACTTTTCAATTCATTGTAAGTTTTCATTTTCAGTCTAACCTGAAACAATTTGCCCGTCTTTTTAATATCACCAGTGAACCAAACACATTTGTTATTTGCTCAGCTGACTTGACAGAAGGTACTTTCTGTGCAAAGCTTACAGAAGTACTAACAAGTTTAGTGGTTGGAGCAAGGCACTATGAGTGCTTTCAGATCCTTGGAAGAAAGATGTCATAAAAGTAGAAAGGAATTTGTGTTGGGAATTTGTAGTGTGCCTAAGGGAGTTAGGTGCCCAACACCTATTCCAAAGGGACTTGAGTGTCTAATTCCCTTAGGGTACATCTAGACTACAGGCTTTTGTCGACAGAAGTTTTGTCGACAGATACTGTCGACAAAGCTTCTGTCGACAAAGAGCGTCTAGACTACATTTAGTTCTGTCGACAAGCAAGCTGCTTTGTCGACATGGCAGTGTAGACGCAAAGGACAGTTTAGATGCAATAACGCCTTCTGTCGACAGAACTCTGTCGACAAAAGGCGTTATTCCTCGTAAAATGAGGTTAACCACCGTCGACAAAACTGCTGAGTTCTGTCGACATTGTGTCGACAGAACTCAGCGGTAGTGTAGACGCAGGTTTAGTTTTGTCGACAAAAGTCCACTTTTGTCGACAAAACCCTGTAGTCTAGACACACCCTTAGACTCCCTTGAAAAATCCCAACCTTTATTTACACACATGTCCTTTGTTTCTAAGACCATGCAATTAATTGTTTCCCATGGAACATCATAATTGACTCACATTGAGCAAACCCAGAGAAATCAGTGTGGTTAGTTCCAGAGGAAGGCATTGGTCCAACAGAAGGAGACGGTGAAAAATCTGACTCCTGGTTCATTTAGCACCAGATAGGTGGATAAATGCATACTCACTCAAGTAAAGGCTCACTGAGGGGATTAAAGGTTCCACAATCTGTCTCTTTAATTCCAGTTAACTATGTAGCAATCGGAGTGGGTCCAAATCTTCCTGGATGAAACTCCCAGAGACACCGTGGATAAATGTAGTCCAGTGATTTCACATCCCATGAGGAATTCAAAGATGATTTGTATTTCCATTTTCTCTTTGCTCAGAAACCTCCGCAAAACAAGGTCCAACCCATGAGCCAAATATCAGGATGCCCGAGGCATTTAAAAATCAAAAACTGGGAAAATGGGACCAGCTTCCATGACACATTGCACCAGTCGGCAAAGGAGGTAAGACCATGAAATATCAACGGGCAACTTTCCCCAGCGGGGTGCCATTCCTTGTTTTGACATTTCTCTCTCTTTGCAGGTTCTCAACTGCAGGACCAAGGCCTGCCAAAGCGCCCTCATGAACCCCAAAGGCTTGGTGAGAGGCCCCAGAGACACACCAGTCCCGCCGGAAGAGATTTTACCTCAGGCAATTGAATTCATCAACCAATACTACAATTCACTGAAAGAGTAAGGCTATTTTAACTTCATTCTTGAATTAGTTGAACTATAGGATGTGAGCACCTGAGTATTCAATCGTCATGAGCAGAGCCATCCTTACCCATATGCAGAATACACAGTTGCGAGGGACACCCGAAAATTTTGGGCACCACTGGGTCTTGGACATTAAGACCCGCTGGGTCTTCCTATCGTAGTTCTGTGGCTCTGCTTCCTTGGGAGAGGATCTAGTTAATTTATAAGTGAAAAAGCTTGCCAGAGAGATTAACAGAACATCAAACCCATGAAAGAGCCATTTAAGCGGTAATGAAGTCATTTAACAGACATTTGCCAACCCCAGGTACATACTGTCAGTTTCTGAATTTACTGCGTTAGTCTATGGGACCTGAGTTTAAAATTTGCTTAAAAAACTATTTCATGAGTGTGAAGACCACGATTTACAGATTAACCAAGATGCAATGATGCAGGGGAAAGTGCTTGGCTGTAACCACGAGTTATTTGGTGATATGAAAGATCCCCACCTTCCTTGATGAATAGAGGAGTGGACTTTGAGTGCTTTGTGCAATCTGATTTAACTGTCTCCACCCTCCTCAGGGAGATGTATCAATAGTCAGCTTTGACAATATTCTCTTAAAAATCATGTTACCATCCGTCCACAAACATTTATATATAAACAAATGTCTCATCTCTGGTGTCTTACCACTGAAAGCTAAAACAGTGCTGGCGTGGAGTAAAACCCAGAGATCAATAGTGTTCCATCTAATCTTTCCCATCCCATATGTGGTTTTCCATCCATGTGTGGAATAATTTTCTACATGCACCGAGGCATGTGCACATGCACCACCAGTGGAAACACAAAGCCTAGCGGTGGGCACACTGCTAATCAGAGAGGTGGCCTTTGAATTTCTTCTGAAGTGATTGCACAAGTTCACAGCTTACAGGGAACAGATCCAGCATTTAGTTTGGTGTGTTCTAAAGGCTCTGTCTCTCTGTGTTTTGGCACCCTTTGTTACATCAGCATTTCCCGTCGTGTATGACTTTTCATAAAGTTACTGGCCTTTTAGGCAAATTTTTACCACTCAGCTTGACAAAGGGATCTCTTGTTATTCGGATGTTTTTACTGCTTTGAGTGAACACGTGGGAAATGCTGGAACATTTGAGTCAAATTCTACCATTTTAAGGCCTTAGGGATTAACACATAAAAGTTTAAGACTACAAAATACTGAGAAACTCTGAAACCTGTGGGAATTAAAAGTTGCTTAGCACATCCAGGCTGTGTCTAGACTACATGGCTCCATCAATGGAGCCATGTAGATGAGGGTTGTAGGAAAAGGGAAATGAAGCGGCGATTTAAATAATCGCCGCTTCATTTAAATTTAAATGGCTGCCGCACTGAGCAGACAAATAGCTGATCAGCTGTTTGTCGGCTCAGTGCACTAGTCTAGACACTCTGCTGTCAACATCAAAGCCCTTTGTTGACCACCCAATTATTTCTCGTGGGATGAGGTTTACCGGGGCAGTCGACAAAGGGCTTTGATGTTGGCAGCAGAGCATTCATACTAGTGCACTGAGCTGACAAACAGCTGATCAGCTATTTGTCGGCTCAGCGCGGCAGCCATTTAAATGTAAATGAAGTGGCGATTATTTAAAGCGCCGCTTCATTTCACTTTACCCAATAATCAAATCTACATGGCTCCATCGACGGAGCCATGTAGCGTAGACATACCCCCAGGGCTTACTCGTCACTTTACAGGATTATGCACTAGGCCCCCTGGTTAGTTACTATGGCGAATCAGATGCTCCTGAATTTAACACACTATTTATTTTAATTTGTCCCACTTTCGCTTTTATGAAAGAAGCTTCTGATTTGCAGATCCTTTCCTCTATTTATGCTGCCCAGAAGGGAACTTTATGATGTCTAATAAGTTCTACTTTTACGGTGACTTTATTATAATAAAGAAACTACTCTTTGTAGTAATCAAGGGATTATGAAGTCTCATATTACTGAACAACTCACAATTGCTTACTCTTCTGGTTAGCACTTTCAGGAATTCCTTGCATCATTGCATCTTGGTTAATTTGTAAATCGCTTTCTTCTGCTTGGGTCATTGACTCTTAGTTTGATTCTGGTCTTGTATTTGAGCCAGATGCAGCAAACACTGGGGCCTTGTCTACACTAATCATTCCCTCCCCTCACACCCGTCTATCTAACCTACAAAACTTCAGCTACACAAATGGTGTAGCTGAAGTTGATGTACTTACCGTGATGTCCTCTGTAGGGTTGGCAGGGGCTGCTCTTCTGTCGACGCCGGCTACTCTTCTTGTCCTGATGCAGTACCGGAGTCGACAGGAGATCACTCGGAGATCCATTTATCACATCAAGGCAGACATGATAAATTGACCACCAGTGGATCGATTGCTGCAATGTACCATGTAGTGAAGACAAGCCCTTAGGGACATGTGTCCCTTGCAGTAAACTCAATACAGACATGATGTTTTCATAATCTTTGTGGACTAATAATGCAGTAAGACGTATATTTGTTACTGACGACAAATTCCCACGTCAGCAGCACAAGCACATGTAAGTAGAGGCCAAATTCAGCCCTGCGGACAGTTACATCAAGGTGCTGAACTTCATCTTATGGTCCTGATTCCTTTCTCATCACACCAGTGTAAATAAGGACACTGAAATCAGCGGAGACCCGTTGGCTCCTGAGAGAGTGATTCAGCTCTGTGAGTTTTAAGGCCAGATTTTCAGAACAGCTCAGCATCCAGATTGTCAACGCTTCTGGTAAAATCCTGATTCATTCCTGAGACCTGACCCCTTCTGAAAACCTCAGCCTGGGATGCAACCAGCTTTCACTGCCAGAAACATGAAGTTAGCAAAATCTCCCTATAGTTGCTGATTTCGCTACTTGGCAGTTTGGTTACACTGATTCACACTGTCATGCTGTGCCCTTGAGTCTTCCGCCTGGTGAAATGTGACACGGGCTCTCAGACACTGCAGGCTGTTTTCATCCTATTTATCAGCCAGCAAACCAGTGTGTCTCCGCTACGATAAATATTTCCCCCCATATTTTGTCTTCATTTTCTATGTTATCAACACAAAGAATTTTAGAGGCGAGGGCCTTCTCTTTGGTGGGGAGTAGTCGACACACTTTGCTCCAAAGAAAATCCTTCGACTTGAAAGACTCGAACGGAAGACACTTCCACCATCTGTCTGCCAAGGCAGGACTTCTTCCCTTCCCTCCAGATTTCCCGTGTTTTCATGGGATTTAACATACCCAATCTGGAAAGTCCATACCTTCCTTAAAAAAAAAAGTTAACGTGGGACAGAAGAAGGCAGCTTATGCGAAGAATGTTAATGTATTAAACACCACGGAGATGGGTGCTCAGAAGATCAAGCAGCACCCAGCTTAAAACATTACAGCATAGCATTCCCAGTATGATTTGCTTCTGAACAAGTGAATTCAGCTTTCATTCCTCCTCAACAAAGACAGCTCAGAGACTTGGAGGCCAGGAGGAATTAGTAGGAGTGGACCTCATCTCTCCCAGAAGCGGCCCTGTCTCCCCACACCCATGCTTAGATTATCCATTTCTTTCCACTGCATACAATACTAAGTGGTGGATTGGGGCAACAGAGAACTAAGGCACGTTGGGGAAAGGAGGAGCGAGATGCAGCAGAAAGGAGGGGGATGCTGGGGAGCAGTTTCCTCTAGGACACAGACTTGCCGAGGACTTGGAGATGTGGCAAACATTGTCGCCATTGATGGCATATTATGAGTAGATGCTGAAGTATGAGGCCATCCCATTTCTCTTGCAACATCCCTATGTGCTGGATCAGAGCTGGCAAGGACACTGAACTGTGGCAAAAGCCAACCCCCACTATCCAAATGCTCTGCTTTATGAAAGCCTCCCTTATAATCAGAGAGCTTACGTTCTGCCCCCAGTTACACCCGTGCCCCCTCTTGATCCCGAACTTAGTCACTAGGGAATATTTCTGCAACCGCCTGTGTGAATGACATTCGTTCTGCCTCTTCATTTTGCTTCATGGATTGTTTCCTATTCCACAGGCCGCAGCCAGAAGAACACCAGGGGAGAATGCAGTCGGTAACCGAAGAGATAGAAACAACCGGCACCTACCAGCTGACGAAAGATGAACTCATCTTTGCAACCAAACAGGCCTGGAGAAATGCTCCGAGATGCATCGGGAGAATACAATGGTCCAACCTACAGGTATAGAAACAGAGGGGTAGGTCATCGGCTTCTGTAAAGCAGCCTAGAGACACTGATTTCAACAGACCTATGTCAAGTAATACCAGCTAAGACTGCAGCCTGTAGTTCAGACAGCGCAAACTGTCTCCTCAATCCAGAGCCAAATCAAATAATTGTATATGGTTCAAAACATATTACAAATCTGCTAAGCAACAAGAGGAGATGCATCTCCTGTACTTTACCACAAAACACAGATATATTGGGTCCCTACTTAGACCAGCTAAAAGTGAAATCCCCCTATGTATATGTTGGGTCAGGAGATGAGAGGGAAGGACAGTGTGTGTGTGTGTGAGAATGACAGAGGCACACACAGTGTCACACACAGATTTGCACTGCCAAGCTCCCTCCATCCCCTTCTCTCTGTGTGGAGATAGGGCACAGAAGTGGGGGGCGGAGGAACATCCTCTTCTCCCTCCCACACCCTGCACAGCAAGCAGAAGGCTCCCAAGGGGCAGCTCCAAGGTAGGGGGTAGGAGCAGTATGACAGTGGGTGGAGGGGCAACTGAAGTGCCAGTACTTGATAGCCTCTTGGCCAGACGAGTCAGGATCACCCATCAGAGGCTCCAAGATTCACTGGTTGGTGACTATTGCCTTATCCCCTAAGCCACGCCAGAGATAAGTCTAAGCTATTGCTCCTTAACCTTACATTCTGACAGTGAACTGCATAAGAAAAATCATCCTAAACCCTCATTCCTAAATCAATTCTTTTTCATACATTGCTTCTGGGAATATGTAGGTGTTTGATGCACGGGACTGTACGACCGCCAAGGAAATGTTTGAACATATCTGTCGTCATCTTGAATACTCCTCCAACAATGGAAACATCAGGTACTTGCTCTTATATCCCAGCATTGGTATTTCAAACTCTAGTTTTGGGCTCTTGACCCGGGGTTACATTCAGAACCCCCCACCCTGCAAAAGCGCTAGGCTGTTTAGAAGCTTTTGGACCCCGTCTCCATATTTAACTCCCTCCTTTATCCTATCTCATCATATCTTGAAGGTCTGTCAGTTGCTCAGCCCCTGGAGAATGAGTGGGTGTTGGGCTTTTTAAAAAATTGTTTGCAAACTGTCAGATAGCTAGTACAAGGAACCATGTGATTTGCTGTGTTTTAATGGGAGTTGATTTCTCTGGGCAGATCGGCCATCACTGTCTTTCCACAGAGGACTGATGGGAAACATGATTTCCGTGTATGGAACAGCCAGCTCATCCGATATGCTGGGTACCAAATGCCAGATGGCTCCATCTTGGGAGATCCAGCTAGTATGGAGCTGACACAGGTACATGTTCCAACAGAACTCACCAAACCACCCTCCGTCTTATCTAGCCCATAGACCAGATTTTCAATATGTGGCTCCCTCTTCTAATCCCACTCCCATAAGGTCAAGGGGAGACTTTTATTGTACTTAGTGGATACTTTTTCTCCCGTACCTTTCTGGAGCAGGAGGGAAGAATGAGGGTGGGCAAAAGGGATGGGTGGAGCCTTGACGCCAATGCACCAACCAGCACGTCTTACCTGGCAAAAGGGGGAGGGGCTGCCATGTATTGCTCTTACTCCGCTCCATCCCAGAACAAGGGATGATTGTCTCTGAAACACACTGCCTCTTAGACCTACCTCTGGGGAGGGGCGATTTATGTTCCACCCCCCAATCGGGGCGTGCGATGGCACCTACATGAACATGGCGTGGCTTTAGTTGAACGGGGAATGTAGTTTTTAACATCAGACAGTACGTAAGGAGTTAACCTGTTTTTGTCTTCAAACCCATGGAAAAAAACCCAAAACAAAAACCCACTTTCTTTCCTTTCAGTTATGCATTGATCTTGGGTGGAAGCCCAAGTATGGCCGCTTTGATGTACTTCCACTGATCCTCCAAGCAAACGGCCAAGACCCGGAAATATTTGATCTGCCGCCAGAACTTGTCCTTGAAGTGTCAATGGAACATCCAAAGTAAGCATGATTTAGATAATCACATCTGTGCCGTACCTTGACTACTGGGCTATTGTTAGGCCCAGTTTATTAGTTTGTGCCCTGTGGCAGGTTCCTTTATTAGTTCTTTGTGAGGGTGAAATTATGTTGAATTAACCCCAGAGATAAAATGTATGTCACAGCACTTGAGTTTCATTGAAATTAGCACAGGATATTAGCATTTTTGCAGGACGTATTTGGGGGTTCTTAGATCTGTTTTAGTCCTAGCCAAAAGTACATTGCTTTTAAAATGGGCACAGTCATAATTGTTTGTGTAAAATACTTGTAGGGGGTATTTCTTCTTGCCCTCAAAGCCTTGACTCACCAAAGCATGTAAGCAAGATGAACACTGCTCAGCAAATTGCTTGGATCCTGATTTAGCAAAGCACTGCTCTTTGGGACAACCGTTAACGGGAATTACGCACATTAAAGGGAAGGATATGTTTAAGGGATGGCTGGAACTGCAGCCTTAACATTAAACATGCAAGGAAGCTCAAGCATGTGTTCAAAAGCTTTGCTGAATCGGGGCCCGAGCAGGCATTGCAGACAACAGCCTATGACGTCTATCAGCCAGTAGACTTATTTCTTAAAATCTAGTGGGACAGGTCTGTGCTTTGCAGCAGTAGGTTGAACCCTGCAGATGATTCATGAGAAGGGCCATTATGGTGTAAATCCATCATGTCCAACACACTAGCCAGTAGCCACATGTATTTGGCTGGCTGAGTCTGGCTAGTTCCCTTCAGAACTGGGTGGATGCCACGGGTGTAAATCAATGCGTCTGTATTGCTTTCAGTAGAGTTCTTCTGATTTACACCAACTGAAGATCTGACCCTTGTACATTTCATTTCCTGCTCTATGGAATTCCTGTTTATTACTGTCTAAGGGTGAAAGTCATTTACAGTTTCTTACAGGTGCTGTCCTATTGCAACCTGGGTTCTGCCCAGCTCTTTAAATTGCTCTCTGCTGAGCTCTTGCTGAAGCTACACACCAGGGCACACCTGTTTGCTGTCACCTCTGTTACTATCTTACCTACTGTAGCATTTGCCACATAGTTTATAGTGATTAGCAATGAGCAAATCATTTTAGTTTATTATTTTTTTTGTCTTGCTTATTTCGTGAAGAGACTGCCCAGTGGTCAATAATTCTTTGATGCTATGCAGCAAGGAATTCTGGATTTTCACATGGCCAGTGAAAAGTTTGTTGTGAACATTTGCAAGCCTGCACTGGGTTGCTTTGTTATGCACAGCAGACAGGATTGTGTCTGTTCCCTGATCGGCATTGGTGGTGCTTAGAAGGAGCACCTGGAGAGGGGTCTTAACTAACAGGTCAACATGTTACTTTTTAAAAGGTATGACTGGTTTAAGGAACTCAACTTGAAGTGGTACACCCTGCCTGCTGTTGCCAATATGCTCCTAGAAGTGGGGGGCCTGGAGTTTACAGCTTGCCCATTTAATGGCTGGTACATGGGGACGGAGATAGGTGTGCGAGACTTCTGTGACGTGCAACGCTACAATATCCTGAAGGTAATGTTCAAGAGGGTCTTTATGCATCTGTGTAGGAGAGGCAAGGGAGGGCACTAGGTTTGACACTGAGCCCTGCGCAGGTTGGGGCAGGACTCTTGGGCATGCTTCCTGTAAGCTGAGCTCTTAGGTGGAGCCCAAGGAGAGCTTCAAATGCTGCCCAGCTGATTAGCAACATGTGTTTCTGTGCGTGGTGTACTTCTGTACATGCCTTGGTGCATAAGACAAAATTTATTCCACACGTGGATGGAGAAAGAGGGACCTTGTCCATACCCAGTGCTTTCTTAACTGTCTCAATGTGGCACTGCATCTAGTTCAGATCCATTGGGGTCAACACTGGTGGGAGAGGTAGGGGAGAGCCAAAAGAAAGGCAAATCAATTCATTAATGGCCAAAAGCAAAAATAATTAAAAAAAAAAACCTTTCTGCTTTTCTACACTCCTGTGTTATTAGTATTGCATGTGAATGGGGTGTTTGTTTTGATATTGCAAACTCTTTGGGGAAAAGGCTGTCTTGGTACAAGTATGTAGAGTTCCTGGTCCATGCCTAGAGCTCCGAGATGCAACAATCCAACTAATAATAGGGGACAGCTCCCTTTTAATACCATATAACCCAGAAGAGAAACAGTCCCCACAATATCTGAACATCCCAGCACATTTTTCACCCAGATCTTTGTCCTTTAAGCGAATCTCCCCTCCCTCCATCCAGCACAGCAAAGATGAAAGCAGCTGCCTGGACCGCACCATTACATGGGGTTATCCTAACCCCCACAATGTTTTTTCCGACTGAAGTGCTTACTAATTTGAAAAGTCCTAGCCATGCACAAGCACCCTGCATGGAAATTTTCAGTTCATATCCCTGAGTATTACATGTGTGGTTTTTTTTCCCTCTCTGTTTGCACGTGCAGGAAGTAGGGAGAAGGATGGGTCTGGAAACCAACAAACTTTCCTCATTATGGAAAGATCAAGCAGTGATAGAGATTAATATTGCTGTGCTTCATAGTTTCCAAGTAAGTCAGCCGCCGACCTATGAAGAGACAAACCTCCTGGGCCTGATTCTCCTCTCGCTCTTGGTTTACACTGGGCCCTTTATTAGCAACTCATGAATACAGTGTGAAAGCATCTAGTCTTCCTGCAGCTGCCTGTGGCAAAGGCGATGGGGTGGTGACTTGTGGAAAATGTTCGATCATCCCATTCTAACTGCCTCACTGGGTGCTAAAAGGCAGGTGCTGAGAAACAAGTGGGTTAAACCATAGAAGAGGGGTGGTTAACTGAATTGGAGGTATTATAGAGCTTGCTCGCCTGCAATAAACTGCAGGGGCGCGGGAGGGAGGGGAAACGGTGATCTTCAAATGTTTTAAGCAATAGCGAAAAACGGGACTAGAAAGTGAGCTGCAGCAGAATCCTAATGCTCCATCTAGTGCAGGACTAGTCCAAGATTGTTAGCCTTGGATACATCCGAGTAAGGCCCAGTCTACACTGGGGGAGAAATTCAGTTTAAGATATGCAACTCCAGCTATGAGAATTGCGTAACTGGAGTCAACATACCTTTAACTGAATTTCTGGGGCAGCCCTGCACTGGGAGGCCCATGGGAGAAACTCTCCCATTGACTTCCATTACTCCTCACAACTCCAAGGGGTACTGGGATTAACAGGGGCACCCTCAGTATTCAATTTAGCAGGTCCTTACTAGACTTGCTAAATCAAACCCAGGAAAATCGATTTCCAGAGCATCGATTTTTGCATACAAGGCCTGAGGCATTAGCGGGGTGCTGGAGCAATTTGTAATGGGGCGGGGGCACTGAGAGGCAATTTGTAATGGGGCGGGGGCACTGAACCAAACTGTAATCCTGCGTATAATGGAAACCACTTCAATGTGTGGGAGGGGGTGTTGCAGCATCCCCCACATCCACAGTTCCAGCAGCTATGGGCATATGGTCCCCCTAATATGTATTCCACTAGTGAAAAGCCTTCCACTGATCTAAACCCTTAGATAGTCATTGCACCTATTTGTGCAGGTCCGTGACATGGGGCACAATCACCTTATGTTCTTCTCTATGGAACTCTTTTAGAAACAAAACGTCACCATCATGGATCACCACTCCGCGGCCGAGTCCTTCATGAAATACATGCAGAACGAGTACCGCCTTCGAGGAGGGTGCCCAGCTGACTGGGTCTGGCTGGTGCCCCCGATATCAGGCAGCATTACTCCAGTGTTTCACCAGGAGATGCTGAACTACGTCCTCACACCATTCTACTATTACCAGGTAAGGGCCACCCAATGATCATAGACAACTGAAAAACCACAAAAAGGCCTGTCCTATCCAGAGACCAGAGGCTGTCTGCTGTGTACTTGTGTGGCCACTCAGCAGAGATCCTAATGCTGCCCCGCTGATTAGCAGAGTGCCCACAGCTAGGTTTTTTTCTACCGGTGGTTCACGTTCATACAAGACTCAGTGCACATAAAAATTATTCCACACATGGATGGGAAAAATTAGAGGGAACATTAATTACAGGACATTTCACGCAAAGGGATCCTGATACATGACTGGGGCTCCAGTGCATAGCAATGATGCAAATAAATATCTAACTTGAGCTAAAAAAAACCCATCATTCACATTACCTGCCAGTCCTGGTGCCTGCAAAGTACCATTAACCAACGGCTGCATTCAGTAATTGTAGGGATTCTAATATTTTGGGGGGGGATTAAGGCCAGTTGTTCCTGTTAAGAATATATCATTAGGAGTATATCCCCCAAACAAATGAAAATGCGGTTCGACACGGTAGGGAGGCTGACCCCATATTTCTGATGTAGATGCGAGCAGGATGGGGCCCACAGATTAGAGCATAGATTTAGACTAGCAAAGTAATCTGGCCTTTTCAAGGCACGACTCAAACTGTGCAAAACAAATTGGCTCTGGATTCTTTTAAGATCTCCTACCTGTCTCTTATGTCCTTTTCCAGGTGGATGCTTGGAAAACACACGTCTGGCATGATGAGAAACGCAGGCCTAAGAAGAGGGAGATCAAATTTAGCGTTTTGGCAAAGTAAGTTTCCCTTAGATAAAAAGCTTACTTAGAATACATATGGGATTGGACTGTGAGGATACAAGCCGTCCCATCTTAGGGTACGTCTAGACTACAGGGTTTTGTCGACAGAAGTTTTGTCGACAGTATCTGTCGACAAAACTTCTGTCGACAAAGAGCGTCTAGACACATTCAGTTCTGTTGACAAAGCAAGCTGCTTTGTCAACAAAACCCTGTAGTCTAGACACAACCATACATGCAATAACACCTTCTGTCGACAGAGTTCTGTCGACAGAAGGTGTTATGCCTCGTAAAATGAGGTTTACCAGCGTCGACAAAACTGCTGAGTTCTGTCGACGTTATGTCGACAGAACTCAGCGGTAGTGTAGATGCAGGTATAGTTGTGTCGACAAAAGTCAACTTTTGTCGACAAAACTCAGTAGTCTAGACACACCCTTAGCGTTAGGGTGTAGACACTCCAGTTCTGGGTTTTTGGTTTGCTTGTTACAGCAACCTGGGTTAATCGAATCATTCAACTCTGGACCCAGATTACCCACAATTTGTGGCTGTTCCTGTAACCCACACACCAACTGGGTGTGGTTCACCATCCCATGTAGAGGCACTGAGACCACTGACCGAGAGAAAGAACAGCCTTCGCTGAGAGCCAGCAGGCTTTTAGCTCACGTGGCAGAGGCTCGGGTCCTAAGTTCCAGTGGTCCCAGGCTTTCCCCCGCGGCTTTGAAAATCAGGGCAGAATGTTTTGGCGACTACATGACAAGCTGCATGTGACTTTTCCCAGGGCCGTATTCTTTGCCTCTGCATTGATGCAGAAAAAAATGGCAGCCCGGACCAAGGTGACGGTGATCTATGCAACGGAGACTGGGAAATCTGAAACACTGGCCAATAACTTGTGTGCCTTGTTCAACTGCGCCTTCAGCACCCAGGTGAGCGTCCATCCATGCTGCATAGCTAGGTCAGGGCAGTTTCAGGCAGAGAGAGAAATCTTTACGCATTAGAGAAGAAAAGTTAAGAAACTCAGGAATACGAGCATCTACTAGATGCTGCAAACAGACCCTGGGAATGTTGAATGCCCGAGGAAAGCAAAGTCTGGACAGTCAGTGTCTTTAGTTTTTGTGTATCTTGCCACTCACTCTTTGTTAATCAGACTATTGTCTCAATAAGAAACGCTATCTGATGCACATTTAATGGCATCTGTCAGGAAAATATCCTGACACTGACACGGCAGCACCTACTCGCAGCTGACACATGCAGTCTAAAAGGGTGTCACAAGGAGGAAGGAGAAAATTTGTTCCTCTTGGTTTCTGAGGACAGGACAAGGAGTAATGGGCTTAAAGTGCAGCAGGGGAGGTTTAGATTGGACATTAGGAAAAAATTCCTAACTGTCAAGGTGGTCAAATATTGGAATAAATTGCCAAGGGAGGTGGTGGAATCTCCCTCTCTGGAGATATTTAAGAACAGGTTAGATAGACATCTGTCAGGGATGGTGTAGACGGAGCGTGGTCCTGCCTTGAGGGCGGGGGGCTGGACTCGATGACCTCTTGAGGTCCCTTCCAGTCCTATTATTCTATGATTCTATGATAATGTGGATTAATGACAAATTCTCACAGTCACGGATGACTTTTATTTCTACCAGTGTCAAAGGGCTCTATGACAACATCACACTTGGCCTTCAATCAGGTCATTGCTGCTGTAGGGGGGGGAATACAGCAGCTGTTGCAGATGGATCTGAGGACCAGAGAGGGAGTTTATTACTATTTGTAAACTCGGAGGCCCCAGCTGAGAGTGGGGCCCCATAGTGCTAAATGCTGCACATGTACAAACACACACAGGGAGTATTTTCCCTGAGGATTCAGGTCCTGAACCTCAAAAGGTAGATAGATGCCAAACTTCCATTCATTTCAATGGGGGTAGGTGCCTAAATACTGTCTCTGCCTCACAGTCTAAATAGAAAACACAGACATGGGATGGCTGTGTCTAGCTTTCACTGCCTCCCCTCCCCCGGGCTAGTAGTGCCCTGAAAATCTTTCACAGACGGTCTTCATTTATGCCATATAACAATAGCTGAGGAACTTCGTTTCTTCCAGGTCCTCTGCATGGACGAATACAAGCTCAGCGACCTGGAGAAAGAAGCCCTCCTTCTAGTGGTGACCAGCACTTTTGGAAACGGCGACTCACCAGGCAATGGCAAGGTAACATTCCACTGAGAAATCTGTGTTAGGGCCCGATCCAAGGTCCAGTGAAAGTGGCCTTCCTTTTATTTTACATTCTCTTTCAGGAGGGTATTGGTGCAACATGTAACATTGTATTTATTTCTTAACAGAAATTGAAGAATGCCCTGCTCATTAAGAAACAGCTGCAGAAAACATTCAGGTAATAGACCAGTGTTTCTTAAACTTTTTAAGACTGAGGAACACTAAGGATTTTTTGTTGAGCAAAAAAAAAAAAAAGGTCGCCTGCCCCTTTAAGGGTGGCCATTCTGTTGTTCTCTGCGGCACACCTCCAACTGCCTCGCAGCACACCGGTGTGCCATGGAACACAGTTTAAGAAATACTGTAATAGACTATCATTCAACGGATAGCGCTGTGCAATGAGAAGCCCTAACTTGATCCTCCCGAGACTCATGCAGGTCTCTTTGTGCAGATATGCTGTCTTCGGCCTGGGGTCCACCATGTACCCGGAGTTCTGTGCCTTCGCTCATGCCATCGACCAAAAACTCGCACAATTAGGCGCCTCTCAGCTTACCCCTACAGGTGAAGGGGATGAACTCAATGGGCAGGAAGAAGCTTTTCGCAGCTGGGCAGTTAATGCATTCAAGGTAACTACAGTAGATAACAACCATTGTCCCGAGACCTGTCACAGCTAATGGTTCCTGGCTCTTCACTAGCTACATTGTCCCTGCAAAGAAATTTGGGTGGGGTGGGAAGCTACATACAACACACGTAGTTAGTTACTACTAATGAGGGGACCCAGCTGCCCACTTCAGATCTGGATTTCATGTCCCAACATGTTAGGGATGCTTCTTTGGATCCAGAGCTTTGGTTCAGTCCATTATAGTGACAAGAGCCATTTGCAAAAAATGAGGATCTACATCTAGGTCTAGATTTTGACCTCCCCAACATTCAGGAATGATTTGGGACATGGTCTTATTTCCCAGAGCCCAGTTCTGCCACCATGCAGAGAAGTCCACATCGCTGCCTCACCTTGTGTAGCAGGACACACAAGTCCTCTCAGTTTTTCTAACCAGATCTTATCTCAGTTGAACTGGTGGAGGTTGGCAGTAATCCCATTCAAGACCATGAAGAAAGCAATTCACATTAGGAATCTGGTCTATGTATTGCACTTGATATAATTACTAAGGCTATTACAATTATTAATGTATATTGTTTAAGATAGGTGAGATTGTATGTGATCAGCGAACACTAAGAAATGGCAAAGTTAACCTTCAATCTTTTCTTTTTTTTTAAAAGGCTGCCTGTGAGGTTTTTGACATACGTGGAAAAAACAGTATTCAGCTACCCAAGGTGTACACTGCAAATGAAACCTGGAATCCCAAGAATTACAGGATAGCACATGACTCCCAGCCTTTGGACTTAACTAAAGGTACTTCTCTTTCTCTCTGTGTGCCCATGTTGCCTAACATAGACGCAGGTTTTAAGGAGGATTTAGGAATGAGATCAGCTCTGAGATAAAGCAGGATGGGAGATTTGATGTTCTACCCCAGGGGTGGGCAAAAGGGCCTCCGCGGGCCAGATCCGGTTCACCAAGCGAGTGGATCCGGCCTGCAGAGGCCCTGCTGCTCCCCTGCCCTCCCAATTAGGGTCTGGGGGCGGGGGAGCATCCGAAGTCTTCTCAGCTTTTCCCCCGCCCTTTGGAGCGCTGCACTACTTGCAGGGCAGGGGGAGAGCAGAGAAGGCCGGGGAGTTGTATGAAGCTTCCTTTGCACTGCCCTGGCCCTGCGAGGAGCTCGCAGAACTTCAAAGTGCCATGTATTCCTTGTAAGGTGGAAGGAGGCTTCCTGTGCTCCCCCGCTCCCAGGCCCTGATTAGCCTGGGGGTGGGAGAGGGTGCCAAGCCTCTTCCAGGGTATGGGTGCCTAGTAGGAAGGGAGAGCAAAGGGGATCCCCCACCCACAGACCAATCATGGTCTGGGGGTGGGGTAGCCCTGCCCCTTCCTGTTTAGGCCACACCCCTTCCTGTTTATGCTCCGCCCCTTCTGGGGTGGCCCTGGACTACTTCAAAAATGTTTCAAGTGGCCCCCGGGCAGAAATTATTGCCCACTCCTGTTCTACCCAGTAGGTAGAAGAAGCTCAGCCCTCATTTAGGTGACTATACGGTCTCTTATTTCAAGTTCTGTAAGACATCCCCAAAAAACCACCACAACTGGCAGCCACGTTGCCAAGACTGACCAATCTATTTTCTGTCATTGAAGGAGCACAAACAGCGATGCAGCATGCTCTTGACATACGTTTGTCTGTAGGTTCGCAGGCCTTCCTTGTCACCATAGCATTTATCTGCTTCCTGGGGCAATTAACTACTCAAAAATCTGGGTCAAAAGCAGCTCAGGTCTTTTCCACAATTACATAAAGATATCAAAGAGAAATTGAATCTCTAACTCTGGGATTAATTGTGGCCTCTTTTCCCCTCCACAGCACTAGCAGACACACATGCAAAAGATGTGATTCCCATGAAGCTCAAATTCAGGCAGAATCTGCAAAGTACAAAATCCAGGTATGGTACCTAAATCTTTTAGATATTTTAATATTTCTTCTGCTGGTAGTTTAAAACTAATCCCGAGATACAAGCATGATTGACTCTGTAGGCATTTGAGAAGGGGGGAGGGTTGAATGTCAGACCATTATGAACAGGCAAATAATGCAAAACATTTTAACACTACCTGTAGAATCTGACAGAAACCTTCCCCCTCGTTAATTCCCCAAATCCAATGGGAATTGCTAGTTAATTCAGAAAAATGTGTCCCCTTGAAAAAAATTGGCCAAAAACACCTCAGGTAACTAGTTTGTAATCTTATTATAATGCACACTGAGCCATAAAATGAACAAACAATGCTCAAAAGGATGCGTTTAAACAATAATATCCGCATTAGAAATAGATTCTGAAAAATACTTCCCTGTTTCCTCAAATAAGCCCCCTTCCTCGTCTTTCTAAATATAGCCTTCTTACAGGAAGCCGTGATGCAATCCATTCATGGCACATCACTCCTCTGGTTACTTGTCTATTTCAGTTAATACATGCTATTCAGAAGATTTGGGGGGAAAAAATCTTACTAAATTTGATTAAGACACTTGACTTAACCAGCTTGCAATTTGATGGAGTCTCCATAAATAGTCAAGTTCAGCAGAATCACAAACTAACCCACTTTGTCTGCCACTTCAGATGTGTATAATTCTGTGCTGCCAAAGGGAAGTCCGGTCACCACAGCCCTGATCGTGTCCTTTTTACATTTCAGCCGCGTTACCCTGCAGCTTAAGCTTTCCTGTGAGACTAATCAGGAAGTTCGCTATTTGCCGGGAGAACATGTTGGGATTTTCCCAGGCAACCGGCCAGAATTAGTCAGTGGCATCATTGAGCGTGTTACGGATGCACCACCGACCGATCAAATCATCAGGCTGGAAACCTATAACGATGGTAAGTTGGCTGCACATAAAATACGTAGCTGGAGTCTTTCATTTATTCCCTTTGTAGACACTCCTCTCAACCAAGTTGTAAATGTTTAGCGACATGCAATCTCCTTAAAACGACACTGAGAGGTGCACAGCCCTTGTAGCTGACAGATTCTTTGGAACGGGTTCTCAAGTAACTGTTTCTTACATTTCCAGGTGGCTACTGGACAAGTGACAAGAAAATCCCACCCTCCACACTTTCCCAAGCCCTGACGTACTTCCTTGATGTTGCTACTCCACCCTCCCAACAGCTGCTAAAAAAACTCTCTCAGCTGGCAACAGAGGAAGGAGACAAAAACAGACTGGATGTCTTGTGCCATGTAAGTGTTAGGAGTAGGCTTACATCAAAAGAGTTCTGTGCCTTGAGACATCAGTGCCCCTGTGATGTATGCAATAGAAATGTAGAATAGCTGTTTTCCATTTGATGTGTAAGCTATGGTAGTCCAAGACCATCCTGGATAATAGGATGGTCTTATGGCTAGAGCCCAGGAATGGGAGTCAGGAAATAATGTATGAGACTTCTTATGGTATGAGATTTCCTGTGTGATTCTGGGCTGGTTATGTACCCTTTCTGTGCCTCTTTTGAAAGGGTATAATAATATTTCCTTGTCTCATCATGGGTGGTGAGAATTAATTCATGAAAGGATTCTGAAGTCATCAAGTGGAAGGTGCTGTACGAGCGCACGGGTAGACAGTCTGTTATCCTCCTTGGCAGGCAATTTGGTAAAGCAAAGAGAGAAGAGATTTATAAATCGCTGAAGTACAAATCATTAGTTGGAAGTTCAAGTCCCCGGGAGTGTCTATGGAGTTCAACAGCCGCTCAATAGCTTCCAGGATCAACGCGCATATGCCTACATGGATGTGCTGCAAGAGAGAGCTGAAAAATAGGTTCCCACTTCTACTTCCAGATCCAGGCAGATTCAGTCTGGAGAACAACTTCTGGGAAGTATATCAGAGCTTCCAAATGTTCAGTAAAAGCATCCCAACATTTTCAGATCACTTTCAGTCGGGTTTTAAATAGACTCAGGTTTGAAGGAGTCTCTTTTTATTTGAAGAATCCCTATCATTAGTTTAACACCAGCCTAAAATGTATTCTATAGATGACCTTTCCTATTACCCCCGCTCCCAACCTCAGTGAAACAAAAATGTCTTGTTCACATTTGTGATGGGTTTTGGCTTTCAGAGCTCAGAGGAGTACAACAAGTGGAAGTTTTTCAACAGCCCCACTATTCTGGAGGTACTGAAAGAATTTCCTTCCACCCAAGTCTCCACGTCTTTTTTGCTGACTCAGCTGCCTTTGCTGAAACCCCGGTACTATTCCATTAGTTCCTCCCAGGACATGACACCCAGAGAGATCCATCTGACTGTTGCAGTGGTCAGCTACCGGACAAAGGGTAATTCTTACGTGCATTTATTCTTTTGTTGCATGCAAGTTAGCTGGTACAATGATTAAGTAAACCGGCCCCATGGTGTGGTATAAAACACACTATATTAGCTAAGAGTTTATATTGTGATGCTACTCAGTAAGCTGATACATGCAGAATATAAATGGACAAGGAAAATTTGCAGTCTAAACAGGGTCCACTACTGTTGGACCAGTAATAATCCTGCAGCTAATCTTCGGTTTTTAGTTAGCAGACACCTGTTTATGGACACATCAATTTTGTTTTGATGTCAGTTCAACTTCAAAAAAAGTTATTGAATTTTTTGGGGTTCTTCATGGATGCATTTTTCCCTTCCTCCTGTTAGATGGTCAAGGTCCTTTGCACCATGGCGTTTGCAGCACTTGGCTGAATACAATAGATCTCCAGGAGACCGTCCCATGCTTTGTGCGCAGGTGAGTGGATGTGCCGTACAAAGCACCAGTGGGAAAATATCAGTACATACGTCAGCTGCAGCATCAAAGAGTATCCCTAATAATAATAACAGTGTCCATATTTATTGCAAGGCCACATGGCCTAATGGATGGAGCATGAGGCTGGGACCCAAACACACCTGAGGTCTAATCCTTTGTGATTTGACCCTGTGCATGCTTCAGCAAAACAGGGATAACAACGCTTTCCTACATCAGAGGGGAATGGGCAGGATTAGCATTTGCACCATGCCTTGGAAATAGACAGCCTGGGCTACGTGTAGACTGGCATGATTTTCCTCAAATGCTTTTAACGGAAAAGTTTTCCGTTAAAAGCATTTGTGGAAAAGAGCGTCTAGATTGGCACGGACGCTTTTCCGCAAAAGCACTGTTTGCAGAAAAGTGTCCATGCCAATCTAGACGTGCTTTTGCGCAAAAAAGACCCGATTGCCATTTTCACGATTGGGGCTTTTTTGAACAAAACAAATCTCAGCTGTCTACACTGGCTGCGCAAAAGGACTTTTGCCCGAACAGGAGCAGCATAGCATTTCCACAAGAAGCACTGATTTCAGACAGTAGGAAGTCCGTGTTCTTGCAGAAATTCAAGCAGCCAGTGTAGACAGCGGGCAAGTTTTTCTGCAAAAGCAACTGCTTTTGCAGAAAAACTTGCCAGTCTAGACCCAGCCCTGGTGTAACCGTTGATTTCAATCTAACCCCGTGGAAATTCAGGCCACAGATGATAGATAATTGGTGAGCAATATTCGGGGTACTTAGTAGCAATGGATTTACCCCATGCTGTTTTTTTCATAACGACATGATTGCTTTTTTATTGACAGCGCGAGCGGATTCCAGCTTCCCAAAGACCCCTCCACACCCTGCATTCTGATTGGCCCGGGGACAGGAATTGCTCCATTCAGAAGCTTCTGGCAGCAGCGTCTCTATGACTTAGAAAAGAAAGGTACAGTGGGAATCACCCCCTCAAGGAACACTGCCCCCAGGGGGCGCCATTCACCCAGAAAGGTCCACTGCGGGATACCGTTTTCACTAACTTGACGTACACGTGGCATGGAATTCACCCTCACGACTCAGCAATATGGGGCGCTGACGGTGGATTGGAAAGAGCAGGGTGAGCAAGAGACATGTACAAGGGCTGTAAGAATAGGGGCTGGAGGAGCGGGGAGAGCTAGCCAGGAGCAAGGAGCGTAAAGACATCCACCAAGCCAGAAGAAGCTTTGAGAAGAGATGCAAAACAAAACAAAAACAAAACCCCCCACAATACAACAAAACAAGCCCCCCAAAAAACAGCAACCGCAAAAAGCCCCCAAAACAAACAATAAAAACCCCATCCCTGCCTACTTCCCCTCTTCTTTGGCATGTCTAATACCTTCATTTGCACTGGAAGGGAGCAAATCATGCAGCCTCTTGCACAGGGGTCATAGCGTGGAATAGCTTTCTTTGTGCTCTTACTACCTACCCCCGCTGGGGAGAGGCATAGGGTTTCGTTTACACTCCACTTCAACAGGAAACTGGGATTTTGCTGTGTGGGATTTTTGCCTATTCATTTAAGACAGGTGTGGGATACCTAAGGCCTGGGGGCCGGATGCAGCCCCTGGTTTGCCTGGATTCGGCCCCCAAGACTTGGGACTCCCCCCCACCTCCCCGCAGCAATGGGGAGTCCTCGCTGGCACTCCAAATCCCCCCCGCCCATCCACCGTAGGGCTGGAGCACACAAAATCTACTAGCCTGGGCCCCCCTAGGATCTGGTGAGGGGAATGTGGGGAGCATCTTTCAGTCAGGAGCCACATTAGCGAGGGTTGGTTTTTTTTTGGTTTGGTTTGGTTTTATTTGCTACTTATGTGCGGCCCTAGACTGATTTTTCTGTGGGTCAGCAGCCCCCGACCCCCAAAAAGTTCCCCACCCTGATTTAAGCCAAGTAGAGTTTCTGCTAGTGACATTTTGTAAAGTTAAATTATGCCACACGTATTTAAAGTCAGACCTAGCTCTCTCTCTCCCTCTCTATCTCTCTGAAATCTACAGAGGGTAAAACTGCTTGGAAAATTGCTTCTTGTCCTTGCACTGCATGAATAACTGCTGAGACAAAATTTAACATTAGCCCAATTATGGGCAATTACAAAGCCAAAACCACTTTCCAATGTTTGTTTCAGGAATTAAAGGCAGTGGCATGACATTGCTGTTTGGCTGCCGGCGGCCAGACATGGACCATCTCTACAGAGAAGAAACTCAAGACATGAAAAGAAAAGGCGTGTTGAAAGAGGCCTACACAGCATACTCCCAGCAACCCGGCCAGGCTAAAGTAAGCTTCATTCCTCTGCCTTCTAAGAAGGGGGAGATAGATCCCCACAGCTAACCGCTGAGTGCAGTGTAAAGTTCTCCTTTGAAATGGTTCGGTATTTTGTTTCTACTTATCATGCCTGAGTGAAGAAAGTCTCCAGGCCTTTGAAAACTATGAGAATCGTGCCTTTGACTTCAGTGGGAGCTAGCTGTATATAGCCAAGCTTTACATTATTGCTCTAAGGAAAGAAGATAACAAGAACATCCAAATTCAAGCGTCAGATGGAAAATCGTGAAGTGAAAACTTGTTCAACCTCCCCCTCCCCCAGTCCTAAATGTCCCAAGACAAGTTCAGACTAAACCCCTGGGGGGCAGATGCTGACCTCAGCTCTAATCACTTTGCACCATTTTGGTGACAAAGGGAGCCAGAAAGCAAGCAGAGCAATCACTCTGGGCATTCCCTCCGCTGAGGAGAATCCTTGGCTGGCAACAATATGAGGCACCTCAGCCTCTCTCCCTTTGACTGCTGCTGTAGGAGGGCATGCCAGACATGTCCCTAAGCGAGTGATTGTCAAGGCAATCTGATTGGCTCCTAGGGGCTGTGGACAGTTGTGTGTCGGTTAGAGCCACCTTTGGGCTGCTCTAGCTTATGTAAAGATCTGACTCCGCTTCCAGCTTAGGCTTAAGGCCGTATCTTCCCTCTGCTCCTGTTCAGACTGCAGTTTGGCTAGAGTGAGGGAGTCAGAGCCATAATGTGGAATTTGGGTTGGTTTGCGCCAAATCTAGATAACCCATAAGCTCAAACAGCACTAAAGGAGATCCTATTTGACCTTTCCCCCACTCTTCAGGTCTATGTTCAAGACATTCTTCAAAGCAAGTTGGAGGAAGAAGTGCACCAAGTCTTGCATGAAGAGGAAGGGCATTTGTACATCTGTGGGGACGTGCGCATGGCCCGGGACGTCGCCCAGACCTTGAAGGAGATGTTCGCGAAGAAACTGAAATTGACAGAGGAACAGGCTGAAGACTACATGTTCCAGCTGAAGGTAGGTGGAGAAGCCAAATGCGCCCTCTCCCCAGCTCACAGTAGGCAAGGGTAAAGCTAAAGTGTGAGGCGTGAGTTAAATCAGACTTCAGTGTAGTGACCAAGTGCCAACAGACAGGGTAGCAATTATATCAAACGCTAGTGTATAAATGTGTCAAATTCGGAATTAAAATGCAAGACCTGATGATTCATTTCAGTTTCTACATGCACCTGTTCAGCACGCGTATGGTGCACGTACTGATTACAGTATTGACCCCTAAACTGATTCCCAATATCCTGCCCAATTTGATCATGGATTTCCAAAGGGACAGGATTTGCCCATAATAGTTGGGTCAGTGACAGGCTTTGCAACAGGACCTGACGGTCAATATTTTCAGGGCACAGGGGACTGGCTGTGAATTGAGAAGGGAAGGAACACTGCGTTTAGAACTCTAAGCCTCCTTTGCTGGCTGCCTGGGGTTCTTGGCCTGGTGCAAAGGGACAAGAACTACAAATTTCAGCTTATCTGTGAGCGCTTAGGAGTTATTCCTACCACCAAAAGCTCACCACCACGGATATGGCTACACTGCTGTTTTTTTGTGGACGAAGATATGCAAATTGCACTCACATTTGCATATCTTCTTCTGAGTCTTCTTGCCGAAAAGGTTTTGCCACTATTTGGCCCTGTGTAGAGGGGGGCCAAATGTCGGGAAAAAAACCTCTTTCGCAAGACCCTGTAAAACTTGATTTATGAGGAATAAGGGGTCTTGTGAAAGAAGGTTTTTTCCAACATATGGCCCCATCTACGCAGAGCCAAACAGTGGCAAAACCTCTTCCTCAAAAAGAATAGGAAGAAGATATACAAATGTGAGCGCGATTTGCATAGCTTCTTCCACAAAAAACCAGCAGTGTAGCCATAGCCCGCGTGTCAGTAGCACGATCCCAAAGACAATGAAAAGTGAGGTGCCAGTTTAGTGTTAAAACGCGCAGTCTTACCCTGCATTGCCCGGATGCTTCAGGGAAGGGGACTGGTGGTGTGGAGATGCAGGAATCAGGGCAGGATCTTAGGGATGGGGAGCAGGGCAGGCGGCTGGGTGAGGTTTGAGAGGCGAGGAGGGGGGTCAGGGTGGGGAGCCCCATCTGGCCAGGACTGACTTTCTCCCCCACAGGCCTCCCCCATCCAGCAGGGTCTTCTTTCCCTCTGGTGCAACAGTGAAAGGCTGGGGGAGTGGCTGGGAGTAGGGAGGCTACTTACCTGGTCTTGTGGCCGGTAAGATGGCGGCGCACTCTCGTGACGGTACAACTGCCCCCAGTGGTGACACTGCAGGATAGCCCTCCCCTGCTCTTGCTGCCCCCAGTGGCCAGTCTGCTGTATCATGTTCCTCCGCACAGCAGGCCCCGCCCTTCCCATGTTCTGGGAAACAGTCCCATTCCTGGCACAGCCAAACCCTGACCTTGCTTTAAGTTACGGTAAGAGGAAGCTGCCTACCAAATTTGGTGGCCCAAGTTCTTACCATTGAGGAGGAGTTCTTGAAGAAATGGTCTCGCTGACAGACGGACTCACAGACAGACACACTTCAAAATACATAGATAATGGGACTCCAGACTGATTTTTTGTGTTCTGTGTCTGATTTTTACAGAGCCAAAAGCGATACCACGAGGACATATTTGGGGCTATGGTTCCACATGCCAGCAAGAGAGATGCAAGAGCTTTGAAACCCAATAGTCCAAGAACCACTCAACAGTGACTGTTTTAACCAGCATTTGACCATTTGTGATCATTTTCAAATGGCAAGGGGCCAAATTATTCTTCTGAAGCATGTCACGGCATGCACATACATCTTATAGCAGAGTTTACTCTGAGCCCTGGTCTGCAATAGGACTTTATTTCAAAATAACCCCCCTTGGGTCAAATTTATAAGTGGAGTGTCCACACTACCATAGTCCGTTATTTTGAAATAATGGGCCGCTTAATTCAAAATCGGTACTCCTGCTTTTCATCAGGAATAACACTAATTCCAAAATAGTTATTTTGAACTAGCAAATTTGGGTGCTCCGGTACTGCTATTTCAAAATAACGACTCTTCAGAATAATTCAAACTAATTATTCCTCACTGCTTCCTGGGGCTCAAAGTTCGAGGTAGCGTATCCACATTAATAAGGCCTGTCTCAGACTAATTTTGATGCTTCCTCATAGTGAGGGCATGCTAGTTCAAATGTGTTAAATCGGGAGTTAAGTCTAATTTAGTCATTTTGAAATAGTTTCCTACTGTAGACATGGCCTTAGAGAAAACCTGACTTTTTATTAATTTAATTAAGCCTGTATTGCTATTTATTCTGAACCTTTTTATAATTATAATAATAGTTTGGGTGCAATTTATTTTTTAAATGCAAGCCAGGAGAGGATAAATGCCTTGTAGTTACAGGAATAAGATCTGTTCATAAGGGAAAAATCTAGATTTTTATCCATGATTTAGAATAACAAATTTTTGTGCAATAGATTGTTTATATGTGTATGTATTTATATTGAATTGTTGTACTGTCTATATAACATTCCTTTTACGAGGAAGTCACTGTACAGTTGTTGCGCATTGAAATGCTGGTCATGCTGATGATGTCAATTTGTAGCAAAGTTTCCCAGGAAGAAAGATCATCCTGAAATTGAAATATTTGTTGCCTGTCACCTAAAAAGTTGCAGGCACAAAATCTGCTTCATAGGATGATTCTCTGATCTGCTGCCGTTACAGAGCCCATGGAAACACAGCTCAACAATGCATAAGCACTTTATATGTTTTGAATTCTGTATTCCTCTTGGAACAATACTGTTTTATAATAAATTATGCCTTTCTAGTGAAAAAAAGATTGTGATTGTGAACTAGATTTGAGTGGGTCACGTACTATTGATTCAAGTCTGCAGAGAGAGCTGTGTGGGTGCCCGGCTGGACTTCAATGGGAGCAGAATTGGGCCTTAAAGAATTTAGGGAACCCCACCGCCCATGCAGTATGCCTCCCTACGTGAGATACCTACTTGGCTCACGCATGGGATTACAAACCCCAAACGTTCAGAAGATCGTGTGCCAAGTCCCCGCAAAATCATGAAACTGTCTTTAAAAGAGGTTTTAAACATTTATTCTTATTTGCCTTCTGATTTTTTTACCCTCTTGGTCCAACCTTTCTCCAAACTCAAGAGGTTTATAAACAAATTGAGATTTTTCATGTTATTGCTTGCCTCGGGGAGCTAGAACTGTAAGAAAAAAACGACCAAATATTGTGAGTCTACAATGCATACATGCTACAGCAGGAAACGTTTAATTACAAGGTCAGAAAGCATGAGGCTGCCAAGACAGATGAAAAGCCAATGGTACAGGCACAGTATATCAGACAGAGGGCAAATAGGGAGTAAGAAATGAAGGTACATGGCAAGTGTTGGATCCAGCTGTTACCAAATATACACACGCCCATCCGTATAAATTCAGAATGCTTCACTCAGCAGAACACAAGTGGTCCACTCAGTTATTTTAAAGACACCTTTCCCTCTATCCCCATAATAATTCTATGGAGGCTAGCAGGCATTTTTGAGGAGGGGGTAGGAGACATCAGTTGGGGTCATTTATTCCCCTGCAGAACTCACCTTCTGGCAACAAAGTTCTCCTTCAGAATCCAAAATCCATTCTTAGAGAAATGTGAGCATCAGTTGAATTACATGGGCATGAAAACCAGGAGACCCTGACAATAGGCTCTAACATATTCCCTGTCCTGAAGGAAACAAGATGGCGGACAGCCTGAATCCAACACTTCCTCCACAGTCCTGAGGAAGCGAGGGGCTCTCTCCACAAGCCCTCTTCCCTGCCCATCTTCCTTAAGGCTTTACCTACAACTAGGGGGTGTCTCTTCCATTAAGCAACCACCCTTCTACACCAACCATCATAATCCTTTGATTTGCTTTTTAAATGCTTATGTTTACTGCTATCATTCAGAGAGGGTCATAGTCCACTCATCTGGTGGGCCTCTCCGAACAATGCTATGATGGCATTCACATCAGCTTGCGAGCGGAATGTAGTGCTGTGATGCAAGTCATTGTCCTGTACTGGTGAGGAATTATTGAAGGCTTCCTCTTATGGGAACATGCCCTCCCATGTCTTTGTTAAGCCAGAAGAAGAGGCCCAATTGTTTCTGTTGCAGCACAGTGGTTGCATGATTTTCCCCCCACTGAGCCTGTCAGGCTGTTTGAATGTGGGACTTTTCTCATCTTAATTCCACCATTCCAGAAACTTCCCATTAACGGGAAGAGGAAACAGGGTGATTAGAAAGGGATAGGAAGCCGAGGTGATTTCTTCTCATTCATTGTGAATTGGCTTCTTATATAAACTGATCCTGACTGTAAATGAAGTTCCAGCGGTGGTGAAAGCAATTATGACAGGCTTCAGATCAGTCTGCACAGGAATAAATGGAACAGATGAAGTGTAGATGTGAAGGCCAATGGATAGTTATTGTATTTCAGGCTAAAAGCCAAAGTTCCATTTGAGACAGCAACATTATGGAACCTCTCTTTTTTTGAAGTGCTAAACACGTTCAAACAAATTTATTGTCCGATTACTGAGTTCATGACAAACCCCATTCAGCAAGGTACGAAAGCACATACAGACAGTCCCTGGGTTACGTACAAGATAGGGACTGTAGGTTTGTTCTTAAGTTGAATCTGTATGTAAGTCGGAACTGGCATCCAGATTCAGCCGCTGAATCTGGACACCAGTTCTGACTTACATACAGATTCAACTTAAGAACCCCAGGCGTCCCCAAGTCAGCTGCTGCTGAAACTGATCAGCAGCTGATTCCAGGAAGCCCGGGGCAGAGCAACTCTGCCGGGGGCTTCCTGTAGTCAGCCGCTGGTCAGTTTCAGCAGTGGCTAACTTGGGACGCCAGTTCCGACTTACATACAGATTCAACTTAAGAACAAACCTACAGTCCCTATCTTGTAT